CTCGTAACTCATTATAACGCAGTTATCGTCATAACAAATTCAAATATAAGCAGCGATAACGCAAAGACGAATTATTAGAAATTATCAGAGCTACTGCATTAGTTCCTACCAGCTCTAATATGGAGGCCAGACACAAATTCTGTCTTACAACTTCAAAACCTTAGTTTAAAAATTATCTCGGTGATTTGCACTCTGGTGAGGAAATGGAAGGGGGAAATTATAGTAAAGGTTGAAATTATAAACAACTGCTTAATTTGCATAATAATAACTGTATGTATGTATCTTTGAGGAATAATTTTCTTTCTCTTTAAGTATTCGGTTTTTTCAATACGCTCTCTTCATTTTAGAATTTTTGGATTTAATTAAAGATTTCTGTTATTCTAAAAAATATAATGCATTCAGAATGTATAGGAAAAGGTGATAATTTTATTTCTTTAAAAATGACAACACTTTTTAAAATTTAGGAACGCACTAGGCAGCAGAATTTATGATCCACAAACATTGCATCAGGTGATAAAATGCTTGGTGCCAGCCCTGTGTATGATGCATTGAGATATACAAGATGAATCTTTTAAATTGTCAATCCCTTTATTAATACAACAATTCCTTTCTATAAATTTGCCTGCCCTTGTGACAAGATTAGAAGCATTTTTTATATTTTCCAAGCTTGTGTCTAGTGAAAAGTCGTGAAAATAAAGGGAAGATAAAACTATTAAGAAAAAGACTTTTAGTAGCAGAAGTAAAACATTCAAATAGTATTGTTTTCAATCGTTCTTCCAAAAATTCTCTAAAAATTTAGAAATTCACCATAAACTTTCTGTAAAATACATCCATTATCTGTTAATACAATGAAGACATTCTTCTGGAATCTTCTAGATTCGTCTATAAATCTTGCATTAAAATCCTTCTAAACTTTCAAAGTTGCATTGTCTAAAATCATAAAGAAAAATTACTGTACAGCAATTCTGTAACAGCAAAAACCAAAAATATGTTGAAAAAAAATCAGAGGAAGAAAGTGCAACATTAATTTTATAGAGAAAACTTATGCATATTCTGAGAAAATTACATGGGAAAAACTCTTCCCATGAAAAAATTAAAACGAAGGCATTTTTAATTAATTACATAGCTACTCTGCTTTTGCTAAATCTATTTCATAAAATTGTGCTAAAATACAATTTGCACATAGCAAACTGTTTCATAAAATTGTGCTAAAATACAATTTAAGCATCTATTACCTTACTTATTTTTCTGATTCAAAATATTAAGTCGCCAAAATCGAAAATAATGAAAGTGACATTACTATCCATTTTGGCGAAACATACGATAACGAAAATGCAAATTTTCCATTTTAATGTTTTTTCTTGAATATAATTTCAATATCGTTGAAAGATTCCCAGAGTTCCAAATTAAAAATCTCTATAGAAACTGATCTCAAAATCGTCAAAATGTTGATAATTTGTCAAATTTAGAGACGTTTAACAAAATTCCCAAAAGACAAAAAGTTTTTTAAGAACTCATTAGGAAAAAATGAAATAATTATGAAGATTCTAATTAAGTGCATCACATCTACACTCTGATTCAGTCACTTGGCCAAAAGGCTCTCATATCAGTTTGGCAAATCTTAAATGAGCTTATACTACAAATAATCTGAAAAGTCATGCTAAAGTTTATTTTCAAGAAAATCCGACATTTTATTTTGACTCATTTCATAATTTGTTTTGACTCACTGTAACCACTCTACCAAAAAAAAATAATTTTTCAATATGAATTTGAAGTTTAGTATCCTAATATAAACAAAAACAAGCAACTAAAAAACAAAAAGCTCATCTGCATCACAAAATGTTGTTTGGTTGAACATCGCAAAGTATACCTAGGGCTATCTGCTTAAGGAGGGTTGCCTTCCCGAAGTAAACTATACATACAGGAGGTGGTAGCGTTCATAGCAGGATATTAAAAACACACCATAAGGCAGTAACTGTAATTCATTTATTACCTCTTATGTCAATTAATAGTGAAAGGTATGCCATTTACTAATGTGCAAGTCATTGTTCATTGTGTGTATTACACTCATGTCCATAAATTAAGGATAATGCAAAATCAGGCAAAGGAAGAGTTAAAAGCAAAACAAATTTGACTTATTTGTAAAGCTTATTTATTAAACAAAAGGTAAAGAGCAAAAAAAAGATGCTACATGTTTGATATTATTAAAAAAATTAACGACTTTTTCTCCCTGGAGCAAATTACAAAAAATCAATATGACATGTTTGGTATGATTGTTAATAATTGGTATAATTGACATGTTTGGTATGATCGTCTGAGAGACATACATGGAGACGATGCAATACAGTCCGTACAACACCTAGGCATGCTGAATATCAAATTATCAATCTGATCTTGGGGGATATTACACCACTCAAAAAGCAATGCTCTCCGGTAGGCATGTAGGAGGAGGTTGACGAGCTGCAACTCGTCGGCCAAGCATGTCCCAATGCTGGCCAGTCCATACGGGTGATATCCTCCAATTGAAGGCATTCGCTTACGATGTTTGCACGTTGAGGACGGGCGTTGTCACCCATAAACACAAATTGTGCGCCCATGGCGCCCTGAAACAAACGTACATGTTGTTCCAGAATGACGTTCCGATAGATTTGGCTTGTCATGGTTCCAATTTGAACATGCAGGTCAGTTCTGGAACCCAGAATAATTCCACCCCAAACGAGCACTCCTGCACCACCGTAACGGTGTCGTTCAATGATGTTTTCTTGGTGGTAACGGGTACCTGGAGCTCACCATATGAAAGTCCGGCGAGAATCAGACTGCAAGCTAAACCTGGACTTGTCGGAAAACATCACACAAGCCCACTGTTGCGGTGTCCACAATGCATGCTCTCTATTCCAGGCTAACCGCAGGCTACAGTGAGTTGCAGTAAGTGGAACGCACCTGACAGGTCTACAAGCACATAGACCAATCTGCCCTAAGCGTCTGTACACGGTCTGCCTTGAAATTGTCGTAGCAGTGGCTGAAGAGAGCTGACGAGACAGGTCTGAGGCTGTGTTCTGCCTGTTTCTTTTGGCAGTAACTGCCAAATACCGGTCCTCATTCGGCGTTGTAACTCTGGGGCGATCTGTGCTGTAACGTCTACTCACATTACCATCATCTTGGAATCGTTGCCAAATCCTGGAGATGACACTCTGGGCAATTCCAAGTTCATCTGATACTTCCAGTTGAGTATCACCACATTCCAGATGGCCGATGATTCTAACACGTAAAAAATCATCCAAATGCGTCCTTTGTGTCATAACTCTTCGGTTATTGCACTGAAATGCTTATAAAGCGCCTGCGAACAATTTTACTTCTTTGCCTGTATTCCTTATATATCACTCTCTTACACTCTAGTCATTGTGACGTATCATCGGTGTCATCTGGTTACTTTCCTGAAATTTACATATGTATTCTTGAAGATGTGTGTAGTGATTTTACAGGTGATATATTTATTTTAGAGTTTGATTTCCGCGTGACTCCGAATTATCCTTAATTTATGGACATGAGTGTAAAATGAGCAATTAGTTATGTCCTGTCCAAAATTACTTCCTGAAATTTGCATATGATTCTTGAAGATGTGTGTAGTGAATTTACAGGTGATATATTTATTTTAGAGTTCGATTTTCGTGTGACATAAATTATCCTTAATTTATGGACATGAGTGTACTTTTTGAATATGACGCCTGTAAAATGATGCCTCCTCTGCACAACACATTCATCTAGGCAGCGTTGAAAGTTTGCCGTAACTCGGCGTAGCGTAGTCCCTGAGACATTGCTAATGGCAGTTCTGATGTGATGCTTCAACTCGGAAATGGTGGCACAACGTGTCCAGAAAACTTCTTGCTTCAAGTCGCCCCAAAGGAAAAAATCTGCACATGAAAAATCCGGTGAGCGAGGCAGCCAGGAAATGTCACCAATTACTTTACCTTGAAATGTCTGTCACAATGGAACTTTCCAATGACGTCCCAAGTTAAAATTTTGCCAAAATAGATGCTGGGTAGCAATACTAGAGTAGTTATTCTTGAAATAAATTTCAACAGCAAAGGCATGATGCTGTGCACTAAAACCGATCCATATCACTGTCACACTCAAAATGGCAGCTCATTAGTACACGAATGCGGCACGAGCTGGCGTGCATTCATGCACTACATCATTGTACTGCGCAAGTCAAATTAACGCTATGAACGCTGCCACACCCTGTATTTACTCTGAAGAGTATCAGACAACAGTTCAAACATCAGACATCTTCAAATCAAAGAAATGCATGAAAAGCACAAGACATTGCAACTTTCCAAGTAAACTATACATACAGGAGGCAGCTACATTCATAGTAGGATATTAAAAACACACCATACAGCAGTAACTGTAATTTATTTATTACCTCTTATGCCAATTAATAGTTAAAGGTATGCCATTTACTAATGTGTAAATCATTAGATTTAGCTTCAGCTAAGGTACAGATAAAAAATAACTCACATAAAGTACAATTAACAATAATAAATTTTTAAAAATGTCAGCCATAATAAGAACACAAGATTGAGTATTATAAACTATATAAAGAATACTTGAAATTTACCAGTTTTGTTCTTGGTTTTAATAGTACAGGTTATCAGTTACAAAAACTACAATAATTCAAATATCAAAGCATGGCTAATCCAAGATTCTTTAAACTTAAGAAAAGCACACTTAAGGTTTTAAGCCTGCCTAGTGCGATTGCACCTACTGCTTTATTTCTTTCAACTAAGCACTTTAAAATTAAATATGGTACTTTGGTATTCCACCAATACACTACCTAAAATGACTTCGCTTTTGTATGGATGAAGCAATCTTAGAAGCTATTCTGGGCCTATAATTTTCTACAAATATGCTACAAATTAAGGAAAGAAGGGAATAACTTTTTTATTTAAACATCAATGCTGAGATAAAAGCCTAATGACAGACCTTATGGCACCAGTATCTTTTTTTTTTTTAATTATCTTTTTCTCCATAGAAAGTTCTCAAGACAACATTTGTTTCTCTCACATTAGTTTTTACTGCATTTTGCATCCATACATATATAGATACATAAATAATTTTGCAGCCTTCATTATAAAAAGAAATTTTGATTTGCCAAGAATTGTTTCCAAGCATATGGTATTTTCATGGTTTCCAAGCATATGGTATTTTCCTAAAAAAACATGAACATCCAATTTTCACAGAACAAAACTGTACTATGTCATGGGATGGAATGAAATATTAACAACTGCTGACAGAATATTATAATAAGAACAGGAAATTGGTTGGAAGGAAGTCATTTGCCTTCTTATTTAGCCGAATTCATATAGTAGCAGATACAAACAGCAAAGAATTATAATATGCTTCATGCTGAATGTAATAGCTAAACAGTATTCACAGAAATAAAAAGAAAAAAGTGTCTAATTGATCTCCTGAGGATGAAAATATAATTCATCACCCAAAGAAACTAATAGATTGTTGATAAAGTATCAGTAGAACTTACAAATTACTCAAACAAACTTACACAAACTTACAAATTACTTGAATTCAAAAAATGAATAATCGATCAAAACAAAATTTAAAAAATCATTAGATTTGTAAAATTTTCATTCCTTACTATTTATAATAATCATTCACGCTTAATTTGATAAATCACATATTTTATTCATAAATAGAACAAATGCAACATAATTCATCCATATTTTATTGATACATTCTTTTTTCTCTCATATAAAAAATTTAGTTACTTCAGATGGCATTCCAAATGACAATTTACAAGGCAAATACATTATAAACACAACAAATATATGCTTCCTTTGACAGCAATTTATAACTGAGATTAGGCACCATTTCCTACAATTACAGAAAAATCTCGAGAAGAAAGTAACAAATCAGTTTGTTAAATAATGTATATAAATGGATTTAAAAATACCAATAATAAATATCATGACAGAAACCACTGTTAAAAAAATGTAAATATGTAAAATATGCACAATTTAATTATACATATAAAAAGATAAAAAATATGCATTTAATATAAACACATGGAATGGAAGAAACCGGAAACAATGTAATTCACATTACAAACATGGAAAGATGATTCCATAAAAATACTTTTATTACTTTGGCAATTACTTCTGCCTGCTAACAGTTACCGCAGAAAACACACACAGACAATGTTGAAGAATATTTTTTCCCTCTGGAATGGCACTCGATTATAGATACAAAATATTAATCCCTACAAAAGCTAATGCACATTAAAGATGAAAAGCTCAATTAGCCTATAGCTTGTGCAAAATATATTTAAAGTTAACTAATGAAAATTGGTTGGAATGCTGAAACAGATGTCTTAACTTGTGCAATCTATATTTAGACAGTATTTATGAAAATTCTATTTTGATTTATATATTACAAAACAAGAACAGGATTTTTATTATTGCTAAATGCTTATCTAAAGTCTATCTCTTGTTACAAAAAAAAAAAGTGAAAAAGTTTTATTTATAATAATTTCTAATCTAATTATAATTACTAATTAATATACTTCTAATTTAATAAAATGCCAAAATAATATTTCACATTTGCATTGACTATATCTAGTACGTAAAAGTATGTGCTACTTTCTACATGCAAATCACCATTATCTTGAATTTGCATTTTAAAAAAGGCAAGAGATTTGGACCGGAAAGTTTTTAAATACACAACTCATTTAAAGAAAGTTTCAGGAGGTATTATCATACTTATTTACAGGTATAAAAATCAAAAAATAAGATCATGATTTCAAGCAATTTGCATGAATCTTCAACATTCAAAAATCTGAAATGGATAATGCTCATGGAATGTTGGACAGATAATTGCAAACCTGAAAGATCAATGATACAGATGAATTCAGTTTTTATATCATTGGAGGCATAAGGCATTCATATCAATTAATAAATTCTATCTTTTTGCACATAAAAAAGTACAAATACATCACATTTTTGCTTTGAGAAATACACCTCCCATTTTAATAAATACCTGGCAGTGATCATAACAAACTCACATTTTTTTTTCATTTATTTCACATTTCCAAACTTATTAGAATGCAATAATGCTATTAATGTGCACTATAAAACATAGTGTAATGCTATCACAGACACTGGTTATATTGAAATACACATGTATTACTGAAGCACAAAATGGACAGCATCAAAAGAACAGAATTCCTTTTAGCTTAAAAATGGATTTTGGTGTGATTCACAACATATTACTTGCATCTCTACATAAAACAATGCTTGGCAGTCAGTGGCAAATACAACATTTTGATCCTAGTAGGTACAACCATTTTATCCTAGTAGATACAACCATAAATATATTCCTAATAAGAATTTCAAAATGCTCTGCAAAATTACACTTCATGCTTTCACAGAGTAACTTGGAAATAATTTTTCTTTACAAGCATTCCTTTACAAGTTTTCTTTTTCATCTGGAAAACAATTTTCCTTTAAAAACTGTTCTTGCAACTACACTCAGAGCATGTTAACAGAAAATGGTGCAATAATTCTTCATAGTATAGCATTAATAGCATACAAAACACAAAATAAAAATTCTAAACAACTTGAGTAAATGAAATAAAGTCATTTATTTACCCATATTGTTTTACCCTGAACTGCTTGATGTGTCATTAAGTTTTAACAAAACACATTTACCTTATTGAGAATTCATAAATGAAAAATAATCTTCACTGAAATAGTCAGTGAATTATGAACAGAATATTATTTTTATGATTAACAAAAGCATTCCTTTGTGCACATAAAATCTAAAATCAGAAAAATGCAGCACCATATATAAAATTCAAGTTATTTTAATAAATATTCACTGTTTTTAATGAGCAAACTCCAATTTTGTATAAAACAAACATATCTTACATAACCATAGATATAAGAATTATCATTATAAACATAATTGAAATAAATAAGTTCCATCTGGGAAATTACAAATATTTGGTTCTAAATTTTACATTACAAGGAGAAAAATAAAATACAAATTTAAATGAAATGAATTCCATTCAGAGATTCACAAACATCTGAATATAAAATTTGGAAAAATTCATCAATTTATTTTTCCATATGATAATTATATTATATGAAAACATGAATTAAAGCTTGGAAAATTAAGCATCAAAGGGCTTCATACCCATAATATGTAACATAAATTACAGCTCCCCCATAAAAATTAGCAGGCTTATATTACAATCACTGGTAACTAAACTGTATTCTCATAATCATTATTAAGTACACACTGCAAGTTAATCTTCAAACAGAACATAAACCACACATGAATAGACTATAATACAAGAGTGTATAATCAAAATTTAAAAATATATATGCATGTACTTGTATAATACACAACTGCTGTTAATCACATTTGTTACAAATATGTTAACAGTTTGGAATAAAAATTTTAAGTCTTATATAAAACAAATACACAACAAAAACATAACAGCATGCATTCCTGATATGTCTAAACTATACATCACAACATAATGAATATGCTATCTTTATTTATACACATAAATTGAAAAATTATCAAAGCCAATTAATAAAATTGCTTGATTTAAATAACATCTAAACAAATTACCAGGCTGGGAAGATGTTAAATATAAAAAATAAATAAATAAATAAAATTGCCAATGGAAGGCTTTAACAGATAATATTCCCCAACAGCTAAAAAAATAAGAAGCTAGACTCTTAACATTAAACAACTCGAAGGTACTAAAATCTGCCACAAAATGGCAACACTTCATTATTTCAATCTGTACATTTGTGAATATACATTTATATACATAAATTTTAATATATTTTTAAAAAAGTAGATAGTATATAATTTTAGTTTCTAAAAACTGCTGTCAAAGCAGACATTTTTGAATTGCATCAAATTATTAATTTAACTATTGCAAACTCTGTACAAACAGTACTTTCTTAAGTACACTGCTTGAAATTTACACATCTGCATTTCTCATAAACTATTATTAATTTTTTTAATTATTTTGTTTTCCAAAGAAATGCTTTTAAAATATATACACACACAAATATATTTATATTTAATCTAATTTTCTAAGAACAATACTTTTCAATAAAGATTAAACATTATTATGCACTAAAAATATAAATATACAAAATACTTTATAAATAAATGAACATAATGAGGAAATGGTAATGTTGAAACATTCTCTTCTCTGACCGCATCTATTTCTTCTTGAAAATACAAGCTTCTGACCTGAGATTATATAAAAATAAAAGCACAGCACATCTTCTAAGCGGGAAAATCTTATCACAAATAGATCCTTACAGCTAGTCGGCTCCTCATGTTTCAGTTATTCTGAAAAAAAAAAAAAAAAATTAAAAACATTATTTGATACATTTGCATACAAAAAATATAAAAGAATTTTGCAAACGTAAGGCCAAGATCGGAATCATTAACACTTTGCTGACTCCATATTTTGGATATTTCCACGTTTCAGATCATCAGTTTAAATTTACTAAGATGACATGCACAGATGGCAACTTTGAAATTTCACTTATTGTTTAACTCAGATAGAAAAATGTCATTTTGTGCAACAGCAACTGGGTTTCAGAAGGCAATAAAAATTTAGAGGAGCACTTAAGCAGCAAATATTGTGGATGGTTGAATTTCAAGAACTTTAGAGCTTGGAAATTTTAAAAATTTAGCCACTCTTAAAAGAGAATTTTTAATTTTAATTTTTTAAAAAATTTAGGGAGGGAAGTATTGGGCAGTAAAATTTAGGACCCACAGAGATTGCGCCAAGAGAAAATATATTTATATTTAATCTGATATATTTATATTCATTTGCTTCAGAATTTGGAAAAGAACATTAATGAAAAACATACTCTCAAGTGTTAAACTTCAGATTTAATGCAGAGTTTTATAATTTCTACAATTAACTACATGTTTGCTATCGAATGCCTAAAATCTTGGTTTGGTAAACATCCCATTTTAGCTGAAGTTTAAATTGCTGATATTAATGTTATAATATGAATCTAGAAAAATTACTACACTTATTGAAACTTATTTGATAGCACTAGAAAAACTTGGTGATACATACGATAAACATGCTACACTATAACCACTGGCCGAGGCATGTTAGCCTGAAGATGCACTTTGAACATGGGAGTGAAATTTTAGTCTACAAAAATCCAAATTCATAGACTTAAATTTGAAATCATTGTGAAATTTCCAAGAAATGAAGTTGCATTGATTTAGTTTAGTTGATTACTGCAAAGCACACTAGGACTATCTGCCCATGGGGAAGGATGGCTTTGAGGAGGACTTTCTAAGTGAAACTAGCTCATATACACATTATATATGGGGTGAAAATCACATAAACAGCATGCAGCCAGCCCATTCACCTGAAATCAAACTCAAGTTGGAAAGTACCAGTATTAAGCGATTTTAGCATTTGACCGCTGGTGGGCCTAAGAGATGAAGAAAGAATTTCTTTAGTGAAACAAGATTTGGGCTTTGGAAAACAAAAACAAAAAAAAAAAAAAAAGGTCAAAGCTAAAAAATCCAATTCACTAAGATGTTCCAGCAGCATCAGGACTCTTTAGGAATTACAAGTAACAATTCTTCATGAATTGAAAAGATGAAGAGAAGAAAGGTTAGGATGATGATGAGGTTTTGAAGATGATGTTTCCTGAGATGTTTTGAGGAATGGTATTTGTGTTTTCGGCTAAAAAGTATAGACAGTGTTCGTAGCCACATTTTAGTTAAAACAATAAGCACCTATAAGCACATTTCAAGCACATTTTATGAAAAAAATAAGCACCTGTCTAATTACACTATACACAACTGCATAACCTTAAAAGAAAAATTAGACTTGTAATTTAAAACATGAGAAATTCAGTATTTATTAAGCATTACTCAACCATGGAAAACCAGGGCTATGGAGTCAGAGTCATGGAATTGGAATCGGGCATATTTTGGAGTAAAAGGAATCGGAGCTGGAGTCGCTAAAAATAGGTCGACTCCGACTCCAATTTTTTTTTGACAGTTTGGATTTGAAATGAAATTAAAATGAACTGGGAAAAAGGAAAAAAAATATATTTAATGACAAGCTGAGTTATTATTTTTGTTTATGAACTATTTACATTAATAAATAGTTATTTTCCATTTTATTGACTTATTAATAAATAAATATAAGGGAAGAGGACAGATGTGATATTCGGCATTAGTGATTAAATTGATTCATTTAGTTACAAATCTCACAGTTAAATTTAGGGCAAGCAGCAATAGCAGCAAGAACTCCCAAAATTGATGAAATTCTTAGGAAGCGAGCAGGAGCATTTATTGATCAAGCAACGCAATAAGGAAGTATATATTTGATGATAAAGAGGTTGTTAGAATTAAGAACTTTTTTAGAAGATGTAGATAACCCTATTGTTTCACTAACAGAAAGACTGTAGAATGATCTTGCAGAATTGGAAAATCATCTTTCTACACCGTATATTGCCACAAAAAAGCTGCAATCTGAAGAATTGACAGGAGGCTTGAATGGAAGAATGTGATGTTAGTTCTTTCTGAAATGGAGGGTTTATTGCCGAAGGAATCATTTCTTCAATGAACAAAAGAGAAACTAGTTTGTTAGACAATGAGATCTTGCTGGGTTCAATATATGTAGTTCCGAAACACAATTTTCTTAGATAAGGAAAAAATTAAAAAGGCAAAAAAAGCCATCTATGAACTTTCATTGAATGAAATTATTCTCAGAACAATTGAAGAATTTGAATCAGGACTGTTAAACTGCAGACATTGCAACTGAGTCCCTATCATCCTCTTCCAAAGATGAATTAGATTTGGGGAAATATTTTTGGATAATATTGAAAAGGCTAAGGTAAAGCGAATGTAAAGAACCAAGAGTCTTTAGATATAAAAATGAAAAAATACAAACAAGATTTCTACATATCCTTTGAAGCAATAGAGAAATATAATTGTTCTTGCAAGACACCTCTTTTAGAACTTGTACAAATTTATCTTGAAAAGTTAAAAGAAGTAGCCCTAGAAACAGCTCTTTCTCCTACTCAAGTTAGTGTGGAAAGACTGTTCTCAGACCTAAAGTTTATCAAATCGGATCTATGGTCCTCCAACAAAGAAGGTCTTGCTGAAGCTATAATGTTTCTTAGAAATAACTAATGCCAATTTTTCCATTTCATGATAAATGCTAATTAATATAAATAATTTGCTATGCCATCAGTTTTATTTTTTCTGTACCATCTATTACTTCTTATATATTAAAAAAATAAGTTGTAATCCATGTGTATACATTCACACACATATACACATGAGGAAGTCGGAGTCTTTTAAAATTCCAAAAGCACCAAGTCCAAAAGTCGGTCATTTTCCCTACCGACTCCACAGCCCTATGGAAAACAATTACATTCTTTTTCTTTTAATTTTAAATAACAGTTCAATTTACAGAACTAGTTTACAATGAAAGGGGGGAAAACTATGCAAAAATAAATTATATTACAAGATTTAATGATGAAATGTCAGCTCAAAATAAAGAAAATAAATAATAATAAGCCATATTTATTATATTCACTTGGCACCTAAAATTAAATACAATTCATTTTTCCACTCTTATTAATGTTTAAATAATTTATATCAAAATTCTGAACATTTTCTAAATTTTCATTGTATAACAGTTTGCCCTTAACAGACATTGCACACAAAGTAACTTAAGTAAAAATAAGTAAAAAAAAAAAGGAACTTTTCTGAAATCAGAAGACGAGAAATTGCTTCATGCAATCATCCTTTAACAGTAAAAGCTTAACTAACCGGCATACTCGGAAATTGCAGAATACCTGAAAAAGAAGGGGGTAGATTGTAGCCGTTCTTTAGATCTTTTAGCTAAATAATGCTTTTGACATTTTGATATGTGCATCATATAAAAAATAGCCCAATGGAACTGAAAAGTAATCTGCTTATCAAGCACAGTAAAACTCTTTTATCTCTGCAAAATATTGCAAACATTATTGCACAATACATGCGCCTTAATTCACAATACATGCACGTGATATTATGCAATTGGAATCAACAGCTGCCGTTATTCAGAGAACAAATAACTAAATAATGAAAAACACCCCTTTGCTTCGTCCGGTTTTAACCGTCATGTGCCCATGTGGCATATTTATCAATGAGCAGGACACCTACTGATACTCATATTGATTAATAGAGATTTACCAATCTGGGGTATTTTTCAGTCTAATTTTGAACAGAGTGCATTAAATTTCCGGAATAGAATCATTTTTCGCTTCGGGGTTCGTAGCCCGCAGAACTTTTAGTCCTATTCAATTCAGGTTGGAAAGTGACCACGGAAAAAAAAAGTCCGTTGCTTGCTCTGCTGCGAACTGTAACCGTTTCAATATTCGGGATTTTGCGGAGAAAGGGGAGAACCCCCAACTTTTCTACTGTATAATGCATTGCCCATCCCCCAAAAAAAGAAAATTATTTTGACTATTCGATTACTTTCACTTTATTTATGCCATCTGGAATATTATTCCTTAGAAAACTAATCTGTGTTAAAACACACTTGCCCATTTTTTAAGTTTATCTATACTTCAGCAGTTACTGCAAATATATTACAGTCAAGAGTCTTTAATCCGGATGTCCATAATCCGGACCTCAAAGCTACAAACTTTCTGTGCATGCATCAATTCATAATGTGTTAATGCAAGCACATAATACGTTTACGCATGCTCGTTTAATGTATAACAGACGGTATAAGCTAAGCTAAAATTATCTAATTATCTATTTCAGTTAATGTTGCAGATTGCGTTGTTCCTTAATCTTCTAATTGGATCCGGCTTATTATTTTTTTGCAGACTGTTAGAGCAATTTTCTAAAAGTAAGCTTGAACTTTCAATTATGTCAAAAAGAATTTCCGATTCTGGAGCTACCAAAGGATCTACAAAGTGAAAGCATGTTTCGATGTCCATCAAACAAAAAGTGGAATTGCTGCAAAAAATGGATAAAGGCATATCCTTTGTTTCTCTAACCATTCCGCAATATGTTTATCAATTTCATGCTACTCCGTGAGGGGGGGGACATGGCGCGCAATGAACTGGAAGTTGATCTGTCAGCACTATCCTTATCTTCAGGGCAGATGTTTTTATTTTATGCGTCTTATAATTCCTTACTAAATGTAGTATTTCATATCGATGTACTGCGTCTTTGATATGATTTAAATCAAATTCCTCGTCATTATAAATATCCCGAATACACATCAAATAGTTTTCTGGTTGCAATTTTCTAATTTCGACTATGTGTAATGTATGCTTTACACATGCACACGTTGAAGA